CGCTAACTCACCAGAAGCCCGCTACTTTCACCCTCCCCCCACTTATTCCTAGCCAAAAGCCAGCCACGGCCGCAACGCAACCGCACGCGATGCTTTCTAGCCCTGTTTTTAACTTGAAAACGCGTAAATTTGTAATTTTGGCGTTTTGCTTTGAAAAATCGTCAAATTTCTCACCATCTTTACCATGAAAATCCCAAATTATATTTTCTGACCACCTCGATGTGGTTTAGCTACGTCCTAATAGAGCTGAAAAGCTATTAATGACTCGAAAATCACATTTCTAGGTCGCTAGGTCATTTTTCCTGATTTTTGATTATACCCTCAAGCTACCACCCAATTTTCACCCGCTTTCCATCGCTCATAGTTAGCCAGTCACGCAGTCAGTCGGCGGCCCCACGAAAATTTATTCGATTTGGGGTTTGTTGTGGCTGGTGGACAGAGATATATCTATGTTATTCGACGACCAGTGCTACCCAATTGTTCCCCTAAGAAAGTCCTTTCATTACAGCAGCCTGTTTGCTCATAACATGATCTTACTTACCTTGATTTTATACCTTGCCTCTCCTTCGGTCTTTAAAGGGACCAGCAATGCACAACTTTGGAGATTCTTGGCTATGAATTCAACACCGATCCATCCGCGAGAAAAAAATCGATGGAGAATCCATAGGCAACAGGGTCCACAGGCGTGCCTTGCCCGCTCCTTTAAATTGTCCTCAATATAAAGACAAATCTCTAGATGCGAACGCTAAACGCCGACGAGCTGGAAATGCTCAATTCACTACGGTTCCTGCTATACTTCCTCACCAACATGATCAGCATCTACTTCTTGTGTTGTATTTTTCTAAAGCGGCCTTATCATAAGAATTTTCGGTAAGAATAGCTGTCTTACTGAGCTATACTTTCGTACTTTAGGATATTACTGGTGGTGAACTGTATCGCGGGTTGGTGCATATCTGCAGGGGAGTACTTCCGGATTTTAGAGGACTCGAAATTTGTTACTGAACACATCGTAAGTTAATTTTTTACGTTCAAGGTTATACACGTCTCAAACAATTTTTTAAAGGATCGAGAAAGTCTAGATCCCTCAAAAAACTATTATAAAACCTGTTTGCCCATCCGGTTCGAGGCGTTGAGCCTTAAATTAAAACAAACTTTGAGAAGCAGCTTGAATCGAACACGCTAGGAAAATCCAGCTTTCCCAGCGTGTTCGATTTAACCTAGTTCTCAAAGTTGCAAGCAATTTGCGGCTCAATGGTTCGAAACCGGAGCAAAAAAGTTTTGACAAAACGGACGTCCGTACCCCTTTAAAGGCCAACAATTTCAGAAACACTCAATAATCATTTGCTTCTGCTTTGGCCTATTCCTATATCACATCAGCATGTTTGCCATCGCAATGGAAAGACTCGTGGCTACGGTATCTGTTAAGGTCAGTACAAGGTAGACAAAGTACTCAAGCTACCCCGACTGACGACAATAATCCAAACGCCCTGACATTCCGCAAAACGCCCCTGATTATCCCTTCATTTTCTAGGTGTATGCCGCCGGCGGCCAGACCCGACTATTACAGGCATTGCTCATCTTCAGCACTGTAAGTTCTGGTCTCGACCTTTTGCAAAAAAATGACAGGTAAAACGGCACGTTCAAAAATTGAAGCTTACTCTTATAAAAACACAGGCCATCAGGTGAAATCGAGCAAGCACAACCTTCGAATAAACTACGTGGAAAGACTACGTCAAAAACTATTTCAATGCGTTAAAATGTAACAAAAACTGTAAAAAAATATAGATCAACGGGTGACATTTCAAATACGTTCTCGGAATAAATTATTAAGCCTAAAGCCTTGCAAGAAAAAGCTGAAAACTACTTCAAACGCATAAAAAACAGGAAACTTACTACATACGAAAAGATAAACTACCAAACAAATAAACTAAACTGACGTTAGCGCTTCGAAAATAATTTTTAGTCCTTCAAAAATCCTAAAATTTCAGGTAGCTACGGCCTCGGGAATGGTAGTCCTACAACAAAGTTCCATAGGTAAATCCCCAAAAACGGCTAGAAAATTAGATTTAGTGCCTAACGTCGATATAGTACTACTTCTCTTCTCATTCTCTACGGCTATTTTGTCAGCACTGGTGGGTGATAAATAAACTACGAATAAACAGCACGAAAATCTACTAAAAAAGGCCCAAACTTTAGATAATGACTTTCCTCTACGCCTTCAACAAACGGGCATACCGCCAACGCTTCCACCAACGGCTTTTGCTCGCTTGCCTTTTACTGCTTCGCTTTTCGTCAAGCTTTATGAGCTCACGGCCATAAAAATTCTCTCATTTGCCTGATAATTTCCTCTCCCTGCGTCTTATGCTTTGACCTCCGATCTTTTAATGCTTTTCTTTAGTCACCGTGCGTAGATCCGGTCTCATCTTCCATTTTCCCGCTACTCCTCGGGAGAAAGAGGATTCATCAGTTGCCCTTCAGCCTCTGGGATTATTGCTTCGGACGTGCGTGCCGTTGAAGCAGCTCAATATTCCACACCCGCCTCCTCTCCCCCCTTGAGCTCGATCTCATTTGCTGCATTTCAAAGTATTACTCACCCCACCAGTTCGGGCGCGACCCTTGTGTGTTCACCTCCATTCTAGCCAGTAATTAGTTTTGCAGCGCTTCTTTAAGCTCTTCTTTTTGTCACTAGAGTTCCATGCTCGCCAAGATTCCCGGAAAAAACTTTTGTAAACAACTAGGCTTTTTTTGGATGGTATATAAATCGTAAGGTATGTAAATCCTGAACATTAAGGTTAGGATTAGGTTACGCCTAAAAATAACCTAACTCTAAGTTAAATTTTAGCTAAGCCTACGCTATGCCCAAGTCAAGCCTAACATAAGCCTAAGCCAAAGAACGCCTATTTTTTCTACTAGAGAACATCCCCTGCAAAAAATACGCGAAACCCTTTTTCTGCAAAATGTTTGGACACTATTTTTGTGGAACCCGACCGGGTTATGGGGATTCTAGGGGCCAAAATTCGCTAAAATGTAGGAGCAAAATGGACTTGAGAGTGGAGTATAGGATTTTCAGCGCATTTTAAAGGGACTAGGAAGCGTGAGAATCGCCCTCTAGCGACCACTAGGCCTCAACAGCTACGCGGCTTTAATGCTAAACACAATTGTCGAGACCCAGCGAACTTATGAAGTCGATTTTCGCGTTTGCCAATCCCTTTAGAGGCTTGCCCACTTTTTCTTTTTTTTGTTTGGCTTTTTGTCAGTGTGTTCAAAAATCGACACCAGCACTTTTTGTATCCAGGGTATCGCGGCAACCAGGGAACGGGAGGATCTTCCGGATAGACTGGCCCCATTTTTTAAGCTATCGGAAATGCAAGACACCACAAATACGGGGCTCCAATTACCACTAGGGAGGTCCCCCAACGACACGTTCGGGGTTGAGTGGGCTGAAAACTTTTGGTGGGGTTAAAAATAAAGCTGTAAACTGTAAGGCACCTTTTTAGTGCCGCTACGGGTTCTGGTTCGTTACCGGGGGGGTATCCGGGGCAGGCCACGCCCACTCCCTTTTGCCTTTCTCGAATATGGCTATTTGGGCGACCTAATGAGCCTCCGCGGCTCACCCCCGCTAACTCACCAGAAGCCCGCTACTTTCACCCTCCCCCCCACTTATTCCTAGCCAAAAGCCAGCCACGGCCGCAACGCAACCGCACGCGATGCTTTCTAGCCCTGTTTTTAACTTGAAAACGCGTAAATTTGTAATTTTGGCGTTTTGCTTTGAAAAATCGTCAAATTTCTCACCATCTTTACCATGAAAATCCCAAATTATATTTTCTGACCACCTCGATGTGGTTTAGCTACGTCCTAATAGAGCTGAAAAGCTATTAATGACTCGAAAATCACATTTCTAGGTCGCTAGGTCATTTTTTCCTGATTTTTGATTATACCCTCAAGCTACCACCCAATTTTCACCCGCTTTCCATCGCTCATAGTTAGCCAGTCACGCAGTCAGTCGGCGGCCCCACGAAAATTTATTCGATTTGGGGTTTGTTGTGGCTGGTGGACAGAGATATATCTATGTTATTCGACGACCAGTGCTACCCAATTGTTCCCCTAAGAAAGTCCTTTCATTACAGCAGCCTGTTTGCTCATAACATGATCTTACTTACCTTGATTTTATACCTTGCCTCTCCTTCGGTCTTTAAAGGGACCAGCAATGCACAACTTTGGAGATTCTTGGCTATGAATTCAACACCGATCCATCCGCGAGAAAAAAATCGATGGAGAATCCATAGGCAACAGGGTCCACAGGCGTGCCTTGCCCGCTCCTTTAAATTGTCCTCAATATAAAGACAAATCTCTAGATGCGAACGCTAAACGCCGACGAGCTGGAAATGCTCAATTCACTACGGTTCCTGCTATACTTCCTCACCAACATGATCAGCATCTACTTCTTGTGTTGTATTTTTTCTAAAGCGGCCTTATCATAAGAATTTTCGGTAAGAATAGCTGTCTTACTGAGCTATACTTTCGTACTTTAGGATATTACTGGTGGTGAACTGTATCGCGGGTTGGTGCATATCTGCAGGGGAGTACTTCCGGATTTTAGAGGACTCGAAATTTGTTACTGAACACATCGTAAGTTAATTTTTTACGTTCATCAAGGTTATACACGTCTCAAACAATTTTTTAAAGGATCGAGAAAGTCTAGATCCCTCAAAAACTATTATAAAACCTGTTTGCCCATCCGGTTCGAGGCGTTGAGCCTTAAATTAAAACAAACTTTGAGAAGCAGCTTGAATCGAACACGCTAGGAAAATCCAGCTTTCCCAGCGTGTTCGATTTAACCTAGTTCTCAAAGTTGCAAGCAATTTGCGGCTCAATGGTTCGCAACCAGAGCAAAAAAGTTTTGACAAAACGGACGTCCGTACCCCTTTAAAGGCCAACAATTTCAGAAACACTCAATAATCATCTGCTTCTGCTTTGGCCTATTCCTATATCACATCAGCATGTTTGCCATCGCAATGGAAAGACTCGTGGCTACGGTATCTGTTAAGGTCAGTACAAGGTAGACAAAGTACTCAAGCTACCCCGACTGACGACAATAATCCAAACGCCCTGACATTCCGCAAAACGCCCCTGATTATCCCTTCATTTTCTAGGTGTATGCCGCCGGCGGCCAGACCCGACTATTACAGGCATTGCTCATCTTCAGCACTGTAAGTTCTGGTCTCGACCTTTTGCAAAAAATGACAGGTAAAACGGCACGTTCAAAAATTGAAGCTTACTCTTATAAAAACACAGGCCATCAGGTGAAATTTCCAATAAATTCTTCGAATAAACTACGTGGAAAGACTACGTCAAAAACTATTTCAATGTGTTAAAATGTAACAAAAACTGTAAAAAAATATAGATCAACGGGTGACATTTCAAATACGTTCTCGGAATAAATTATTAAGCCTAAAGCCTTGCAAGAAAAAGCTGAAAACTACTTCAAACGCATAAAAAACAGGAAACTTACTACATACGAAAAGATAAACTACCAAACAAATAAACTAAACTGAGGTTAGCGCTTCGAAAATAATTTTTAGTCCTTCAAAAATCCTAAAATTTCAGGTAGCTACGGCCTCGGGAATGGTAGTCCTACAACAAAGTTCCATAGGTAAATCCCCAAAAACGGCTAGAAAATTAGATTTAGTGCCTAACGTCGATATAGTACTACTTCTCTTCTCATTCTCTACGGCTATTTTGTCAGCACTGGTGGGTGATAAATAAACTACGAATAAACAGCACGAAAATCTACTAAAAAAGGCCCAAACTTTAGATAATGACTTTCCTCTACGCCTTCAACAAACGGGCATACCGCCAACGCTTCCACCAACGGGTTTTGCTAGCGGAGAAGTATCAAATGAACGAGAATCTACAATCAACTAGGTATCTTTTAAAAACATAACGTAAATCATTAAATTTAGGACCTTCGTCCCGATTGTCATCAACGAATTGATCTGTCGATTTATCACCAATTTTCTTCACCTTATGGCTATTCGATCCGGAGAAGAGCTGTTGGGCCGTCATAGTGCAATATCGGCAGTTATAGATATTGTAAGTTTTTTAAAATTTAATACAGCATCTAGTACGCGTAATGCTTCCAAGAAAAACGGTTTTTTTCACTTTGAAAAGCTTTAACATAAAACTTTACCTTCAAACAATACCTTTTAGTTCACTTCCTACCGAATCGCCTTCGCCCACATTGTCATCATCCGCCACATCCACGGGCGCTGCCGGTTGAAGGAGAAAAGCGCCTTCCTCTACGAAAACCAATATCCCAACGAGATTACCGACAAATACTTTGAAGCCTACCGCAAAAGCTGGAGGCTTGAGAGAAAGAAATAAACGTTTAACGTTTGATCTCCGCTATTCGTTTAATTACAGCTATAAAACAACTGTTTTAGTAAACAGTTTACACAGACTGAATTGCAGTCATAATAGAAACAGTCATTTTAAGAACTAAGTTTTAAAACAGTTCTAAGAAGTAAAATTCGGAAAGCCTAAAAGTGAAAAGTGATCGATCTGCGCCAAACAGACTTTCGGTTTGCTTTTCGGTCCATGCCTGCAAAATGGCAAAAAACAAGCAAAAATGAACTTTACACAGAATCTACGTACTACAGTTTAAAATATTTGTTAGTGATTTAGCTTTCTTAAAAATTTTTATTTTTAACAAAAAATCTCAAAATCACTCCCCTACGATTACACCTATTGACGCCCGGCCGTCTCTCTTTGCGCCACCGGACAGCGATTTCCTCTTTTTCGGTTTTCCAGATGATGATACTTTTCTTATTTATTCTTTACCTTGCTCGCCTTGTCAATCCATTATTATTCATCGTTTAGCGCTTCCATCTGGGCCCCTGCACCATCAGCGCGTATGATGGCGGATGGCCTCGTTAACGAGTAAGAGTTTTCTAAGATTTCCCTAGTCTCTTTTAGACAGCTAATACGACGAAAGCGGCCCTCTGATGATCGGCTGGACAACTACATCTTCGAGGCGTCCCGCCGACTAGAGCCTGGCCTGGAGTTGGAACGCTCCGTTTTTCAGGTTCGTCGTTTTTTAAAGAATTTACCTTTTTTAGTGCACTTACAAGGAATGCAACAAAATAATCAACGGCGGGACAGCGATGGTCTGCCATTTGTGGGCTCACATTAGTACGTTATACCGCTATAACTATCTTTTTTGGCTTAGATATTACATCGACATTCAAGAGCCTGACCAGCCCACTTTCGATGTTGGATGCGGTGCGCGGAGTTCACATATCGACACGATGCCCAGAGTGCTTGCAAGGCTTTCAATGCCAATATGATGTTCAGGTATCGCTTGATTTATCATGCTATTCTTTTCATTTTTAGCTACATTTCAAGGATGCCCATTCACGGATCACCGGAAACCGCGGCGAGGAAATGTGTGCGATTTGTGAAGAAACACAGCCCGATTTACTCGAACACTTGGGAACTCATCCAGCCGGTGTAAGTTGTAGTTTTCTATTTCCTGCAAACGTTTTGCAGGATTCCCCGTACATTTGTCGAGGGCATGGCTGCGACTTTCGGACGTCCTCGCGGATGCAGCTTTTTGATCACTACGCGCAGGTAAATAATGATTTTAGTTAAGTTTCGTTATGCTATTTAGATACACCGTGATACGAACATGCTGTGGTGCCCCTTCTGCCCGTTCGTCATTTTTCTGCCGCGCAAGCATATCCGGCTAAGGAACGAGGTCAAAATAGACTGCTCGGCGTTGGTGGATCATTTTGTGGAGCATCTAAAAGGTAAAGATTGATTGCTAAAAGGCGGGTTAATGTAGTATTTCCGGTCGGTCTAGTAACGTAAAAGATGCTGGTTTTTTAGTAAATATAACTGTATTTCAACGGAAAAATCATTTTACATAGTTGAAAATGTCCAAAATATTTGAATTTTCGTCGAAAAAGCTGTATTTTAATTCGACTAATATAACGATTTTAGTTGAGCAAGCGCACCGGTGCCCTCGATGCGCCTACACCTTTCTCACACGGTCACAGCTCTCTGCACACCTAAGTGCCGCACACACCGGCATCAAATTGTCCACCTGGACGATCACCATGGTAAAGCTAACTATTTGATTTTTTAACATTTAGCAGATTAAAAATCAAACGCTCAACCTGCCAGCGAAGCCGAGTAAACCCTGCGACGGCAACAACAATGACGACTGCCCGATTTGTGACCGACCGTGCCCGTACAAGCAATACGAAAAAACGCCGTCGACTCGCCGAATTATCGCGGCCCCCAAGATTCTGCGCGGCGGCCTGAATAAGCAGCGTATTGGGAGGTAGTAGTTTTTGTGTTTTAATGATTTTTGTTTTTAGAATCCGCTACAAGTGCTCGTGCGGTGGCTTCATGACTTTTGACCCGGACCGGTTTGCGGTGCACGCAAAGAGCTGCTTCAGTTCGGGCGGCGTTTTCCTGGAGAGCCTGCCGGAAAGGTTTTTTTTGAGTTCCATCTTATTTTTACATGTCTTTAGAGCCTTGATTTCTGCGCCACCTAGCAAAGATGAGCTGCAAGAAGCCGCCTTCTTCGCGCTCGTCCCGTCAAAGGTATTCAGGTGTTTTTGGCCTTTTTGCGTAAAGTGGGCCGTTCCCTAGTAATCAAATGTGTTAAAATAGGTATCTTGAATAGTTCAATACTTTGGCTACTATTCCAGATCGTCAAACTTTAACATGTGTATTAAGAATACCGAAAATCGATTTTCGACCGAAGTGTCACTTTTTAGATATGTTTTCCCCAACGAGATTTAGCTAAATTTTACAAAGAAAACTATCAAAATGCCAGATTTTGCGTTGCTGCCTACCTTTGTCGAAAGTCTAGTGCCCGATTTGACAATCGGCACGATTCTTTCGAGGTAATTAGATAGCGTAAAGACTGGGGCGGGTCCCGCGGCGACTGCCCGACCCGTCAGGCTACCGTAACGGCGGCCTCTGTTCCCCCAGCCAGTCACTCGATTAATGGCTCTCTTCCCACTGGGAGAGAAATCCTTGACGCCCAGTACAAAATGTCCAGCTATTAAGTCCACACTTAATCCCTTAGTGTTGTTGGGTAGAATCAGCGCCCTCGGCGGGATTCGGCGCCCAATAACACCGATTGGTCTTGGCTGATCGGGGAGTGGCAAAATGCCCAGTGAGCCTTTGGCACTCTCTCGCCTCCTATTTCTCCTGTCGTGTTCTCGGTTTAATTGTGGTATACTAATAAACCTTTGTAACCTTCCACGTCTTCTCTTTATCTATAAATGCATACGAGGTACATGTGAGAAGATGAGACTAAAATCCACTGAACATACACCGACATCTTTGGGCCTAGCCTTGAGCTATGGATTCTTCTTGTTTCTCCACATTGGAGTGAATGGTGGCAACTCTCGGTCAGTTGGGTTTATTATTGCCCTAGTGACGTGAGGGCGTTCACTCTTTTGTCATGGTGCGTCTCGGTTTTCGAACCTGTGTCCTTTTTGTGCCTTTATTGATATTTTCTTCTATTTTTCACTTTTCAAAGTTTATTTTCCACGATTTTGTGGTAAGTTTTGTCCAGAATTTGCGTGCGTTAGTGTCTCGCGAGCACTAATGCCGAGCGGAGACCGCCCCGATGCATGAAGGGCCCTCCACGGGCTAGCCTGCAGGTGATGCCCATTGACCAGCTCAAGCGTACCGCTATCAGTGAACTCTCCCGAGTTCACATCCCTAAGCCTGACTGGCGGGAATTGGTAACCACAGGGGTTGGTCCGGTCAGATGGAATGATCCGGGTTGGCCGATTATCCCCAAGTGAGGGTGGATCCCCACGCCGCGGCCCTAACCCTCCAGGAAGTGGGCACGGTAAGTCATCCGAAGGGAGATGGTGTTGCGTTAATCAAAGGTACGCAAACTTTGAACAATGACCAGCCACAAGCCCAGAGCAGCCGTCCGATCAACGGCGTGACTGCGAAATTTGGAGCGTGCGCCAGTGCTAATGCTCGCTTGGTTGCTGCCACCTCTGAAAAAGCCCAGCAATCGGTACTAAAATGGGTTTCTAACTCTCAATTAGTGCGGTGGTGCTATTTAGCGATGCCCAGGGAAGAAATTGTGGATTTCGTACACGGACAATTCCATTTCAAGCTCTACAAGCGTCGATTTCCTCCGTGGATAGCTTGGCGTTGGCGATCAAGGCCGGCGACGGCGATCGGCAACGTTCAGTACTATCTACAGTGCTCGCGGTGAAAATTTTCACGCCCCCGGCGCTGAAATTTTCATTTCTCCGGGCACTCCAGTGCGAAAAGACCAGCATCCACGTCCAGCAATCAACGCCCAGCATATTTTCATTTCATTTTAGATGTATGTATGCATTATCCGGCCTCTAGGCTCAATATGGCTGGAATTTGCGCTACGTACTCAAGAATGGGAATGGAACTACCATGGTTGACGAGTATTTCGCGTTCGATCTGCTTGGATGTCCACTCGGATGCAAGCTGGCGATCTCATCGACGTTATGAGAGTGTAAGCGAGTTTGTTTTTGCCTTTTTCGAGCTAGAAATCCCAAAGGCTAGCGTTGATTCGCCTATGTCTGAGGGTGTGCGAGATTTTGGCATAAACAGATTCGCCTTGCACGGCCGTGGTAGATGCCCAGCACGAATTTGTCCACTCGAATTCGTTTCACGCCCAGCCTTTCTCTTTTTCGTTCTGGTTTTCCGTGTTTTCCTTCGTTCGTATTGTGTTTTAGGTCCGGATCCATGATTGCAACCTCTTTTTCAGGTAATCCGAGTTGGGAAAACTGGAAAAAGCTGCAATCATGGCCGGACCGAAGGACCATACGCTCCTGCGTCGTTACCTGGCTGAATGGCCGATGTTGCGCGAGGAGACGAAGAAGTCCACGGTAAATCTGGACGAGCGACGTGCCGTTCTGCAATGCAGCCGGTACAAGAGAGCGGCGAAGTCGCACGCCGAAAAAATCGTGAGGCGCATCCGCGCAATCACGAACGCCCAGCATTTCAAGGATACCAATCCTGAAATAAGCCCAGCCCTTGCTCAAATCTTTGAGCAATTTCAGGTTGAGGTTATCCTCAACGAGATGTTGGAGGTCCGTAAGCAACTGGATGTGTGCTATGCACGCGTCACCGGTGATGAACTGAAGCTCGCTATCGAGGTGGATACTGTTGTAAACAGTGATACTGAGAATGCGAACGTCAGTGAAGTGGACGAGCCTCAGGAAGTGAAGGATGAGGCTACCGATCCTCTCCTTCACGAGGACGAGTTCGACATTACGGTCCAACATCAAGCCCAGCAGGACACAGCCTTAACTGTGGTTGCCCAGCAAACGCCCAACTCGACGCCGGCCCCAGTGGTCAGCGTCCAGCCGCACGGCCCAGTTGGTGTTCCCGCCAACTCGGGTCAATCGGCTAACGCCCAGCCATCGTCAACTGAGCTAGCTCAGCTGACTTACGCCCAGTTGGGTGGACCGGTATCGGCCCCCAAACAACCTGGTCAACCAGGAAAGGACCAGTATCGAGGTTTCCTTGGAAGCTTCGCAGCCCAAAGCGCCCAGGGATCGGCAAATAGCAGCCAGGCCCCCAACGTCAACTCTACTCGGCCGAATGTGCAGCAGCCGGACGATATCAAGGCGATGCTCGACAGCATTCTCAAGGGTCAACAAGCAGGTCAAGAGACGATGTTGCGAGCCATCGAGTCCGTGAGCAGCGTACAAGGTCAGTTGAAGCAGGACCAGGAAATGCTGCTAGCGCGTACCGAAGCGCTTGAAGCTAAGGTGCTTCTGCTTGAGCAGAAGCCTGCGCAGTCGGATAGGCGTAATATCTCGACGCCGACTGTGCAACGCCCAGCTGACTATGCCCAGCATAATGGCTTCACTGCCTATGACCAGCACGAAGGACCGTTTGGCCCTTCTCATTCAACTGCCATTCGCAGCCCTCAGGCCAACCCCGTGTTGTTTGGGGTCACGGATGTGTGGAGAATGGACGACCAGCACCTTGCCATCTTGAAAGGGGTTGTTCCCGAGTCGATGCTCGTTGCGGAGAATGGTATCCATCTCTTCGAAGAGTATAACTCTGAGCAGTCTCTCGTCAAGATAGAGCCCAGCGTCGAGGAGTAGGGTTTTCCGTCAACGACGTGAACATCCCGAAATTTGACGGCAAAGCCGCTAGCTACCGGAATTTCTGGATGCGGTTTCTTGAGAAGGCAAACAGGCTCTGCGTCTCGAATGGCGAGAAGCTTGACTTGTTGCGCCTTGCTACTCAAGGAAACGTCGCTAAAGCATTAAGTTACTTTGCGATGAACGCCCAGGGTCTGTTCCAGGCCACCACTTATCTTTTCAAGGATTATTTTGATCCAGCCCAGCGGCAAATCCAGGCACATGAGGCCATCCTTGTGCTGCCTGAGGTTGACGCCGACTACGCCGCCCAGCTGGAGGAGGTTTTCGGAACCTTGCACGGAGTTGCCGCTGAATTCGATGACTTGGGAATCAACGATTTGCGCATAAGGGAGAACATCCTTTGCAAATTCCCGAAGAGAGTTGGCGAGACCTTTCATTCTAGGTACCCCGAAGCAATGCTCCAAGGGAAGCTTAGTATGATGGTCAGCAATCTTCACGATTGGGTTCGAGTCCATGCAAGGCAACGAGCATCGGACTTGGCTCGATATCACGCCCAGGCCGCAGCTATCCGATGTGCTTTCTGCACGGAACGCGGGCACCGACCAGTCAAATGCCCAGCATTTTCAGGTTCAGCTGAACAATTCAAGCTTATTCGTGACACCTTACGCTGCCGATTATGCTTGGAACAAGATCACGATACTGGACGATGTGCCTCGGAGATGTGCGGGAAATGCGGCCAGCCTCACCATGTGAAGTTGCACAAGCATTTCGAGAGCTTTGATGTCCCTCGGAATGTCAAGTTTGACGACGATGATTCACAGGGCAATGGGGCTGACGCCAATTCGGGAAGCGGCCCCGGGAATGTCCAAGGTGATCGGGACCAAGCCCGGGATCGATACACGCAAACGTACGACGACAAATCGTCGTCAATCCGCGTTTCGCATCCGAACAATGCCCAGCATAGATCTTCGGGATCGACTTCCGCTCGCACGGAAGAAGCCCAGCGCAACCAAGCCCAGGCGAATTTTTCGCAAATCCGTGTTCCCTTCAGAGACAGAGTACCCAACGCTGAACGCCGTTCCGGAGAACATCCGAACCGCTCGGCCAGCAGGGAATCTGCTTGGTCAAGGGATCGCGAACGCACGGTTGCGCGGACAGGTCGCGACATCATAGACCTGACCGCGTATACCTCCGAGCTTCCGAGAACGGAAGAGGACTGTGGTCTTCAACTGTTTCGGGACTACGGATGTGCGAAAAAACATTGAGGCCGTCCGGCCTCAAGTAAGCCCAGCCTCAAGCCCAGCTCTCTTTTAAGCCCAGTTGTATCTTATGCCCAGTCGTACTTTAAGCCCAGCTTCGCATTTATACAAAGTCCAGGTACCTTTACAACCAAAGCCCAGCTACGCTTTTTATACAAAGCCCAGCTACTCGTTCAAAAAGCCCATCAAGGCGGTTGGTCACGTGTAGAGATATCTCACGCGTCCCACCGCTGATCGTCTCCCCAATGCCCAACACCACCCACAGAAGCTTGTCTTCTAAGATGGTCTCGCGAGAAGGGGTTCATACCCCCCGCGCACTCCGTCATGCCCAGCAACCACGTGCGACACCTCAATGCGTCTACATGCTGCCTATGACATCACCACCTGCACTCAACGAGTTCAATGGCCACCTACAAGCTCACATGCGCCTGCAGCCAGACAATTTGACAAAGTACGTTCCCTTTCCCTAGTTGGCTGACAGAGGTACGGGCCTCATAGCGTCAGTCAACTTCCCTTTCCCTTTTTCCTTCTATTGGCCCAGTCGACCCACCCCTAGTTACTTACTACTTTTCGGCCCTCCCGCCCCCCATTTTATCTGAACCACATTATTCCGTTTGCAACCCCTCCACCATACTGTATGGGAGTTGCCAAACTCAACCGTTTTTGTTGTACGCCCAGCCTCCCCCTCTCCGCCCGCCCCCAGGGCCTTCTCTTGAGACCATCGAGTCGTGTCTATACCAGCACCCCACCCACTAAATGCACATGCCCAAGTTGGCATCGGCGCCCAGGCCGGTGGGTTCGACTCATACCACCACTGGGGGGTTAAGCAGACATCAGCAGCCAGGCCGGAGATATGAGTAGTATTTCCCCTGGTAGAGGCCTGGCCTCGTTGCTCGTGTCGGCCGGGAGTGTCGAAAGTCTAGTGCCCGATTTGACAATCGGCACGATTCTTTCGAGGTAATTAGATAGCGTAAAGACTGGGGCGGGTCCCGCGGCGACTGCCCGACCCGTCAGGCTACCGTAACGGCGGCCTCTGTTCCCCCAGCCAGTCACTCGATTAATGGCTCTCTTCCCACTGGGAGAGAAATCCTTGACGCCCAGTACAAAATGTCCAGCTATTAAGTCCACACTTAATCCCTTAGTGTTGTTGGGTAGAATCAGCGCCCTCGGCGGGATTCGGCGCCCAATAACACCGATTGGTCTTGGCTGATCGGGGAGTGGCAAAAATGCCCAGTGAGCCTTTGGCACTCTCTCGCCTCCTATTTCTCCTGTCGTGTTCTCGGTTTAATTGTGGTATACTAATAAACCTTTGTAACCTTCCACGTCTTCTCTTTATCTATAAATGCATACGAGGTACATGTGAGAAGATGAGACTAAAATCCACTGAACATACACCGACATCTTTGGGCCTAGCCTTGAGCTATGGATTCTTCTTGTTTCTCCACATTGGAGTGAATGGTGGCAACTCTCGGTCAGTTGGGTTTATTATTGCCCTAGTGACGTGAGGGCGTTCACTCTTTTGTCAACCTTGTCGAAGAATACCTTCCTTCTCTAGAAATATTTCAGACTCTAGTGTCTTTCGTTTTATATGTCGGTTTTAGAAACCGGCACCCTTCTCATCGGCGCCCTTCAAAAATCGAATCACCTCGTTTCCACGGATAGCAAAGATTTGCAATCTGGGTGACGATACATTGCCGGAGACAAAGCGGGATTTGATGTAAGCTATTGTCTTCAGTTTTTATCCCTTGCTTTAGACGCGTGCGCGACAACGATGTGGCTGCCAGCCTTGCCGTTTATCGCCAGCTCTTCGCCTGATAAGTTACAATTCCCCTCTCTTTCACCGCTTACCTTTCCCTGGTAGCTTGTCTCTTTGCATTTTCTCACTTTGTTAACCTCGCCAAATTTCGCTATCCCATTTTGTTTATTTGCATGTTTAGAGGTTTCTTTATTGGTATGTATGATGTTTATTTTTTTGCTGAGTTAGATTTTGCAGTTGATAATAAAAAGTCTATAAATCAGGGAATTCTACGCAGAGGCAGTTGATTTGATTTTCGGTCGCTTATTTTAGCATTGAGCTTTTGGGCCGTGTGAGCTTATCTCGGTCACATGGAGCAGCCTATTTTATGCCTTGGGTGACACGGGCTCAATTTCCGCCTCATTTATAGCGCAAGCTTGATTGGCAGCTGACCACCGCGAGCTCTATACGTTTTTAGGCGAGCCGGAGTGCTGCATCGGGGCCCGTTCGCTCGAACGAGTGGCTATTTGAGAAACTGGCTGAGGTTTGTCTGAATTTTTCGGCGCTTTAGTATTCACGGCGAAGAAGGCAAATTTTTTCAATTTGGCATGTAGCGGCTTATTAATAAACTACAAAATGGTTTTACAGATTCAGCCATTTTTCTAGTGTAGTCGTTGTTAATTACCTAAACATTATAAAACTCTGGAAACGTCTTGAAAGCCTGAATCTTTTGCCCAACTTTTGACCAAGAAATCAGAATTTGTAAACATTTTTCGGTTTGAAAGCGTGTGAAATGCTATGGAATTAAGTGTCTCGCCCTCTTTTAGCGCCACCTAAAAAAAATATTTTGCTAAAAAATGAGAGCACCAACTTTTCTCATAAAATTGGCTAATTTTCCTTCCTTTCCCTTTCTAAATTTGGGCACATTTGTCTAGCCGGCTTTCCCATAATATTTTTCGGGCAAAGGAGTGTTTGATGGGGTAAATGGCCTTTTCATTGTCGCCTTATGTTGTTGCCCAAACAAACACATTCCGCCCGGTGCGCGTTGAACCACCCGCGCCCCTCGACCGCGCGCTCGCGCATTCACCGGGTGATACCCCCGGTATTCAACGCGGTATGTATGGGGCACATTAAATGTGGGTGGAGGCTCGTTTTGGCATGCCCCATGTTGCTATGGCATTTTTGAGATGGGCTTTTGATTTTGTATGACGTTGTTTTCTACTTTTCGGGCTTGTTCCAAAAGTTTATGGTTAGATTCAGCTTTGAGCGTACTCTTAAATCCCTTCATTAAGGCAAGCGAAGAAAGGTTTACTTGACTTATTTTTTCACAATGATAATATTTTCGCCTCACTTCATTTAAGTTCATCTTATTTCTGGATCAGTCTCTGTGGACCAAAAACGATTTTATTCTGCTGCTAATCGTTGTGAGTATACAATTGTAGTTCGAAACTTCTAAAATTTTAAGAAAGCTGCCTTGCTGGTAGAGTTAGGGCCAAAGTGACAGAAAAGCTCAAAATCTTAATTTTCGGAATTAAAAAATCTTTTTATGGCTTTGGACAGCAAAATGATACTATTTTTATTTTGCTAGGGATGTATAGACATTTATAAGAATGTCATTTGATTTCATGCCAAATTTTCGTCCGAATCACGACCCGGCACCTTTTAACCATTTTCACCTTTAAGTCCAGTTTTTTAGGAGGAGCGATTCGCCATCCGTCCGCGGCCGCATGTGGCTCTTCCTGATTTTCCTGGCCCTGGCCCAGATCGGCTCTGCCCAATATGATGCTCAACGGTTCAAGGTCTTGTTTTGTTTATTTTCCTTTAAAAGTCGGCTACCTAGACAGGGTCCGATCTCGACTCGCAGCACTTTGCGAGTAAACAGTCCTCGTAATTTGACTGACGCGATTACGCGGCACGGGAAAATAACTCACGCCGTTCCCCCCGCCACCCAATATGTTGATCTCGGGGGACCGGTTCCGAAAACCATTTTGGATTGCGCGGATTTTCGGTTGACCATGAGGACTGTGAGATCCCCCACACCACCAAAGCCTTCCCAAAACGCAGCCTATAGAATTCGGGGGCGGCTCTGTATTTGCTTCTGCCCTCTCCACCCCACAATAGTGACTTTTCAAGCGGTTCGCGGGGCGGGTGATCGCTGTTCGAGGTAGTGGCACTTTTTGTTCCCCCCACCCACTTTGGCTAGCTATGCTGTTTTCGTTGCTACTCTACGCATATTTGGTCCCGCTAGTTGCAAGTCGTAAAAGGGAATTTGGGGTTGGTGAAAAACCACTTGGAGGTTGGGCTCTTCTGCATTATCGGGGGGAGGCGATTTTTCCTGGAAGATATTCGCAGTTACGTAATACCAGGCATGTTTAATATCGTTTTTAACTATATTTTCCTATATTTTAGGTAAAAATTATCTAAAAGCTGTTCAAAAAACTTTAGAAATTTGAAGTTTGATTCGAATATAGGCTTTTTGATCGAAAAATCTATATTTTTTGAAATACTGTTTAGTAAGGTACGGATTAAGGTTATGAATACTGAAAAGGGTGCAGGAAAGGCGTTATATATGTTAGCAAAAAAATTCGCCCCAAAGGAAAGACGTTGCCCCCCCCCGATAATGCATAAGCACCAAGTAAGATTTAAAATTCAGGAAATGGGTCGAAAATAGAATCATTTTGTATTTCAGGTATACTGGAATGCTCCCACGGGTATCTGCGAACACAAAGGCGCCAAGGTCCATCTCGACGACTTTGAGATCATCCATAATAAAGTAGACAGTCTTTTTTACAAACTATTTTTCCTCCTAGAATCAATCTTTCTTCGGCGACCAAATCGTCGCCTTCTACGAGTACAGCTTCGGCACTTTCCCATATTTTCACGCGGGAAACGAATCGTTACCAGTTAATGGCGGACTCCCGCAGGTCGGTTTTTTTAGAGAATTCTAGTCTTTTCTAGCTTTGCGACATCTCGGCTCACTTGACGGCTGTGCAACAACACATTGAGGAGCGGATCCCGAACGAGGATTTTTCGGGGATAGCCCTGATCGACTTTGAGGAGTGGCGGCCGCTTTTTCACCTGAATTGGGGTATTAATTCTGTAAATTTATTTAAATTTTGTTTTAGGAAACAAACGAGTGTACCAACGGGAATCCGTGCGCCTGGTCAAGGAGCGCGAGCCGACAATTTCCGACAAAGCCGCAAAAATGATCGCTCAAAAAGAGTTCAACTCGGCTGGGCGGTACGCTCTAACAGACATGGTTGAATTTGTCGACTTATTTTGGAAATTCCGAAATTCAGAACGTGGAGGTTTTTGGTTGAAATTGATAATATCGCATTTTGAAAATGTGGACTTCGACATATGCAAATTCTGGAAATTCTGAAATTCCGGCATTTTGAAGTTTCGTCAATTTCAATTTCGGCTTTTTGATGGCAATTATTTTAGTCTAATCTTCCTCGAGACGATCCGAATCGCCCGCATCATGCGCCCGTATGCCAAATGGGGCTTCTACGGGTTCCCCTACTGCAACTACGACGCCGGCCACAATGGCGAATTCACCTGCGCCGACAATTTTCAAGCGCACAACGACGAGTAAGGCAACAACTTTTTTTAATATTTTTTTAATTTTAGCTTGGCCTTCATCATGAAAGCCGGCAACGCGCTGTTCCCCTCCCTCTACCTGGGCGACAATCGAGCCCACCGGAACTTCAGGTATATTCAAGTGAGTCTCGTTGATCCGGAATTTTGCCTTTATAAACTAGTGATATTATGTTTTATTTAGGCAATCCTCGCCGAATCTCGGAGGATAGCCCTCTCAGCCGATCACCCCCTCGACATCTATCCGTACAGCAAATTCGAATATGACCCCTACGATGAAATGAGGATAGAAGAGTTTTATGAAAAGGTGACTTTGTAAGAATATTTAATTTATAGTTTTTTTTAGCGAGATCTCTGCAACTCGATAAAGCAAAGCGCTGACGCAGGGACAGCCGGGATAATTCTGTGGAGCACGTCGAAGCGGATGTGGAAGCCGAGATGCAGCATGATTGGGGATTTTGTGGAGCGCACGCTTGGACCGTAAGTTTTAGTGTTTTTTTTTAATTTCTGTACTTTCATGTGAGGACCGATATGGAAACAAAAGCATTTTATTATCCAAAAAATAATAGAGGTACAAGTACAAGTAGGATCAGAAGAGTGCAATGCTTGGTAGAAAAGGCGAAATTGCGTGGCTTACAGAAATACGAGAAGGAATATATAATTGGATTAAAGGAATTTATGGAATACTTTATAGAAATTCTAGATGAGTTGTAAATTGATTCGCAACAAGCGCAATACCTACCTATAGCGGAATTATACTATGATTTATAAATGATCAATGTGGAAATATTATCGTGCTTCTAATATTTAATGGAGGACATCATAGTAGTAGGTATTAAAATGGGAAAATTATTGAGCGGGTAGCATCAAGAAAATATTGCCGTATTAGAACTTAGCGAAACCAACGCAAGAAACCAGGGTAAAATTAGAGGAATTACGAACAGGGATTTCTGGGAAATATTTAGCAAATCCAGATTTGTAGAGGGCAGTTGGGAAATGGGAAGTTTTAGAGGTGAAAAAATCAGATGCGACGGTAGGGGTAATAATTTTGGTAGAGACATTATTCGAAAAATCGGCGAATCCTCGAGATGAAATCTTGACGAAACCTGGGTCTTCTTGAAGGTACTTCTTGGCGGGGATGGGCTCTTCAGGTTGTGGGGGTACGGTAGTCTTGTTGAATTGGTCGAGATCGGGGCAGCAGAAATAATCATCGGTGCATAGCTAAAGAAAAGATGAAATTAATGTAATTCAATATGAATCGATAGTTTTAGCCAGTTACTTTAAAAGTTACCTGCTTTAATAAATTTCATAACTTAAAATTTCTCAATTTTAAGCTAAAATTTAATTTTTGGAAGCTAATCATGAAGCTAGGGAAGAATATATAGAATTCTTGCACAAAATTTAGTTAATCAAATCCAAATAAGCAGAATTAAAGCTCACCTCAATCCAATCCATCTGTAGCCACGGTTCGACCATTTTCCATAGGAAATCAAAGGCTGTGAGGGGTACTGTAGGCTGGGATACGGTAGTCGGGACGATAGCAGCTTCTTTCGCTTTCACAGGGATGATTTCGATTTCCAATTCGAATTCCGGGGTCGGGGTAGAGATCGGAGTGGATCGGACAGTCAGGTCACGGCCCAATTTCATCATACCAGGGCGGTAGATCTACAATAATTCATCGTTAAATAGTGCCTTACTAGCTTATTAATATTGTGTATTACATTTTCTGTATATCTTAACGTTTCTAAACTGGTATCTGGCTTAAAATGAAAATCTTGGCTTTAATGAACGTTTAAACGTATGTTCAAGAATAGGTTTCCATAAATAAAAAAACTCACTTGCACATCAGGGCGACGGAGTCGTAGAGCTCGAGCAGGTCGGGCTTGAGTAGTAGTGGTAGCAGATTGGAGAAGGATGGTGGTAGACATGTTGATGATGATGGTTGATTGGTTGATGATTGTTGAATCAGTATAGTTAGATGTAAATCTAGGGGTACTATATAGTAGTAAGCAGATGTGGAACACGTGTCGATACGCATAAGTACGCACTAAAGGGATGGGATAAGAGGTCATTGGCAGCTGGTCGTATGGTATATTAGTGAGCGGGACGATGGTGGATAAGATATTGAATGTGGAGGCATTAACGAGATAAAGGGGGGGAGAGAGATATCTATTTTTCGATAATGCTATATTCTTCGTTTTCAGTACCGTCAGCTTGATAGCCCATCGTGCCCGGAAATGCTCAAGAAAGCTCTGTAACGATCGAGGACGCTGTGTTCTTGAGGGCCCCTCCGATCGCTGCGTTTTCCGGATGATACCCAGTATGTATCGATGTGAATGTGATCCACAATACACAGGTATTGTTGAAATATCGACGCGTTTATGTTTTTTAAAAATCCACTTTTAATATTAAATATCCAATTTCAGGCGAATTCTGCGAAAAGCACGTCCGGTTCCCCTGGTTCGCCATCGACAACAGCATCTACGGGCAGGAGGACGAGGTGTTTGATGATGAGCCCCTCACGAACACCTTCTTCAAATAACCCATGTCTAGTTTTAGAAATTGTAGTTTGTAGTTTTCTTGCGCTGTTTCTCTTACTCGCCTCGATTTTTTGTGTTTTTCTGTGCAAATTTTAAGCTACTCACTCCTCTATGCGAACTTTCCAAATTAGGTAGCTTACTTTAAAAATTTTTCGCTTTGAAATTTCTCATTTTTGATTAATAAGCAATCTATAGCCCCTTCCTTAATGACCCAACTCAACTTTGCATTTAGAAGATCTCAGGACTAGATTGTGATTGCCTTCCCTGTACTTGGCGTCTCCAGAAACAAGCCGCTGATTTGGGGGATAGGATTCATTATTTGTGACGTTTGCGTGGGGCAAAAAACGTAAATCTTTTTCAGCGTGCGAACGCGCTGGCCTACATCCTTTCGAATGGCACAAAAATCATTTCGCTCGCCCCTGTTTCCGCCCTAGATCAAGCGCGTTGTTTCGCGGACTGTTTTTCGAGCTTTAGCAATCCCCCGCACAGCCATTAACCGACCAAAAATGACCCCCGATTTTCGAGCTTGTGATGTCGCTATGTTGCTCGCGTTCTGTGATTTTTTTTGTGTACCCCGTAATAAATAACATTTAATAATGTTCGTTACCCGTAGGCATATATCTGATTAAATTTTTAAAAATGTAGGTGCTTTGGCGTTATCGCGGAAACAAGTTTTTCCTAAGAACTTAGATTTTTTTAATTTTAAATTCTAAATTCTTTCTAAACGCTTTTATTTGCTCTAAACGCAACGTTTTGGAATTTTAAAAATACAATAATTATAAAATTAATTAACATGAAATTACAAACAATAAATTTTCCGGAACGAATTTTAAAATTTTGAATTTTTTATATAATTTTTGAATTGAAACGACTAGTTTTTAGTAACTTTTTGTAAAATTAAAACTTTTTACGATTAGAAATAGGTGGTTGACACGACGATTTGAGACGCTCAATGTAAGGCGCTATTGTATTCTCTGGCATGAGAATTTTCGGAGGCTGAATAGAATTCTGGCCCGCTGGATGACCACGCTTTACCGGCCATTTAAAAGATCTTTTCCAACTTTGACTATAGCAAATTGACCACTTTTTTGCCGTACTAAATTTACTCGAAAATAGCTTGGCTTAGCTGGATTTCTACAATGGCATTTAGCATGCACCAATATTTCGCGGTGGCCGTCGGATTTGGCATTTTTCTCATGGCGACGTTGTATTTTGTAGGGATTTTAGCGTTTTCTCAACGAATTTTTAGGCCCCTAACGCTTCAATTATCTCTACAAAGAGCATTTCTATATCGGACGACACTAGATGGGAAGCGGTGATCGAGAAATATCGTGTTTGCATGCAGCGACACCCAAAATTGCGGACCCCGGACTCGGCAAGCGTCCTAAAATTTTCATTAATTAATAAATATTATTAATAATATGATATATGCATATAATATATCGATTATAATGAACTTATTCGAGTTTTAATAATTTTTTAGACCTGGGCTGATGGATCCGGGCAGGCCGTGCGTGATTGCTATAAATTTGGGCCCAACATAATTTCTGTCGAGAACCAGGATGAAGCCAAAAGATTGATATTAATGAATAATCTGGTTGGTGGTAAATGTAACGAAATCTAAACAATTGTTACAGTTTTTAATTACAAAATTATCATGAAAATTTGAAAAAATTCAAAAATTAGCACGCGCCAACGCCGAAACATACACCTGTATTCAAAATGTGCTATACTATACAGAATAATAATTAAAACGTATAAGCATCCAATAATGAAATATAATATGTTTAAAGCCATCTAAAACCATCAAAATCGTAAGCCTTTTCAGCGAGAAAACTGCACATTTGTCACTCTTGGTATTGGGAAGGACGCGATGGCTGAGGCCAAAGTAAAGGTCCGTAATTAAGTTTATAAAACCAGCTTTTCCTACTTTTATAGCGTATTTTCCTTACTACAAAAATAGACAAACCTTTCAGGCAATGATGCCGAATTGTAAATTCTACGGCGCCGATCCAGTTTTGGAAGAAAACAAGGTCGTATATGAAAATGTAAAGATATTTAGGTTATTAATTATTTTTCAACAGGTCGGTGAGTACCACCAGTTGGCAATTTCCGGCAATAACGTCGCAGATTCGAGTATATTAACAAAATGTAAGTTTTTTTTAGAGAAATCTCGATTTCCTCTTCTTTTCAGCCGGGTACCAAACGCGCAAAAAAGATGCCGGCAATGCCGATGTATCAATTCTTTGGGGAAATCGTCAAATCGTAGGGCAAATTATACTTTAATTAGCCTATTTGCTTTAGAAAAACGATAGATTACTTATTTGTCGATATCGAATACGCGGAATACGATTTATTCGATTATTTACAGGCTGAGAAAGCGCTGGAAAATGGATATACGATTTGTCAGGTTTGTTTTGAGACTAAGCGTATACTTTATAAGTCATAACTTGGGATTTTAGATAAACCTTGAAGCTCACATTGCGCAAAATATAGAGCAAAAGGTTAAATACATGGAGTTTATCCGGAAATTAGTAAACGAAGGCCACTACGCGTTGGCATATGATGACAATACGATTGGGCATCATAGGTAGGTAGTAAATAAAATGTCCTATAGCACTAACTACCTTCTCTATAAAATAATGTTGTTATATGATAGTAAACTGCGCATTATATACAATGAAATAATTTCAATTAACTTTTATACAATTGTGTATTCATCCCATGATTTAGGATCTTCTTCTACAACCACAGAGCCCCGGCATGTCGCAGAAAATTCATGCCATTTTCTTAGCATTTTTGGGTGTATTTTAAATATCGAATTCAATGAATCAAATGAACGAAATTTTGTACGATTTATACATCTGTATCTGGCTCAACTCTCGCGGCGCTTCTCGCGCTTCCACGACGAGAACGCCGCCTCGATATTCGGGTTCATTTGGGCGGAGAGGGACGATAATTTCCGGGATGCATCTGGCCGTTTCCGCAGGCTTGCCGCCGTAGAATGGCGACGCGTGCGAGTCGTACCATTTGTGCGCTGGTCTGGAAAAGGGTTTTTTATATGGTTAAACGTGGCTTCAACACACTGAAGATTACTAAATTTTTTGCCCCGCTCTCTCGAGGGGGCTCCAAAAATTGTGTAATACTCATAATTGTTCGTGTGCACGGAAATCTTTAGTAAAAGGCGAAAGATTTTCTCGGTCAAATGCACACGAACCAGAGGTACCTATAGAAAGAGGGGATGGTTGATTAGACGGGACAGTGGACCAGGTGGGGGGCGAGTGGGGAACGGGCCAAGACAGCGTTGCGGAGCTTGAGCCTGAGCCTAAGCCTAAGCCTAGGCCTAAGCCTAAGCGTAAGCCTAAGCCTAAGCGTAAGCCTAAGCCTAAGCCTAAGCCTAAGCCTAAGCCTAAGCCTAAGCCTAAGCCTAAGCCTAAGCCTAAGCCTAAGCCTAAGCCTAAGCCTAAGCCTGAGCTTAAGCCTAAGCCTAAGCCTAAGCCTAAGCCTAAGCCTAAGCCTAAGCCTGAGCCTAAGCCTGAGCCTAAGCCTAAGCCTGAGCCTAAGCCTAAGCCTAAGCCTAAGCCTAAGCCTAAGCCTAAGCCTGGCCTAAGCCTAAGCCTAAGCCTAAGCCTAAGCCTAAGCCTAAGCCTGGCCTAAGCCTAAGCCTGGCCTAAGCCTAAGCCTAAGCCTAAGCCTAAGCCTAAGCTAAGCCTAAGCCTAAGCCTAAGCCTAAGCCTAAGCCTGAGCCTAAGCCTAAGCCTAAGCCTAAGCCTAAGCCTAAGCCTAAGCCTAAGCCTAAGCCTAAGCCTAAGCCTAAGCCTAAGCCTAGGCCTAAGCCTAAGCCTAAGCCTAAGCCTAAGCCTAAGCCTAAGCCTAAGCCTAAGCCTAAGCCTAAGCCTAAGCCTAAGCCTAAGCCTAAGCCTAAGCCTAAGCCTAAGCCTAAGCCTGAGCCTAAGCCTAAGCCTAAGCCTAAGCCTAAGCCTAAGCCTAAGCCTAAGCCTAAGCCTAAGCCTAAGCCTAAGCCTAAGCCTAAGCCTAAGCCTAAGCCTAAGCCTAAGCCTAAGCCTAAGCCTAAGCCTAAGCCTAAGCCTAAGCTTAAGCCTAAGCTTAAACCATCTACTTTTTAGCCTCTTGTACAGTAAGGAATCTTTTTGAATGTCGACATTTCTACCATAAACCGTTTTCCAACACACCTTTCTGCGCCCCAGCTGCCACTGAGGCTCTCCTCGAGCTCTTCTTCCATTTGGCGACTGGAGGTGGTGGTGGTGGTGGAAAGAGTGGAGCGGGCAGAGGCCAGGCTGGCACTCTTGTCGGCTGCTTCTAAAAATAGTTAAGGTCAAAACAGAGCAGTGTGACGTCATGTGCCCCATTTCGTTCCAAGGTTAGGGTTGTTAATGTGTCCTGCTCGAGGAACCGCCATAGATTTTGCGTGGATGGCCAATGGGGAGGCCAGCTGTTTGGTTAGGGGCTGGGGGTGAACGATGGGTTTTTGAGAGGGCCTAGCAAAGTTCAAATCGTTTAAAGGGACACCTAAGGTTTTGGAGGCAAATATATAGTTATGTATTCCGGCAAGTACAAATGACGCGCGAATTTTGTGCGCCAATGGGCGCCCATTGCCGCACAGAATTCGGACACCTTTCCCTCTTGTGACGTCCCCCTCCCGTTCAATGGGTTGCCACTATGGCCTAATGGATAGCATCCAGGGCTACAAAACGGTGGTGTCGGGTTCGACCCCCTCCCGCGGCATGGTTTTTGCTTTTTGAGCCCCGAAAAGGTTGGGTATATGAAAGCGTTATTAACGCACTACCAGGGTTGAAAAACCGCTTCGCGGCTTTTCAACCCTGGCCCCGTCCAGGACCTGTGAAAGTCCTTAATTTGAATGTTTCTTTCTTCTAGCAAGAAAAAAGTGAAAAACGGCTCCTCTGTCCCTTTATATAGGCTCTTCCTACTTCCGGCGTATGCTAATTTCCCCTAACAAACAGGGTTTTACAAAAACCTATTTTTAATAGCGAAAACCACAATTTTTCAAAATTTTTATGTTTGTGCAGTCGATTCCGGACCATTCTAAACCTATTGTCGTTTCTTCCCTATCCAAAAAACCCTTCCCCGATGCTGTAGGAGCGGAACATCCTAACGGAAGTGCATGCAAATATACACACACACACACACAAACACTAATTTTTTATATATAGTAGGATTAAGGATTTTAACGCACCCGCGACACGCAACGCATTGTTGAATTTGGCTGTGGTTCAGCTACCCCCCCCCCCCCCAGGGCAGCCAAACCAAGCCACTGTATCTCGGCTTCTTATTAAGCTACAACGCTGTAAAATACACCAAAATGCTCGCAAGTCCAAGACGAACAGTTTGGTATACTTTATATCCCTGTAGCTCAACGGTTAGTCGCTATAGAAATGTTGCGGGCTGGTTGGGGGATACAGACGACACGTTTAGCGAAGGGACTTTAGCGCAACGCGACGCGTCACTTGCGTTGCAAAAATCCATAAGAAAAAAGAGCCAAAGCTGACTTTCTGGGGCCTTCAGAATTTAAAATATTTGAAGATAGCCCGGTACAGCTAACCTTTGGCGAAGTACAGCAGAAAAAGTGTAGAATCCAACGTAGAAAAGTCTTCTGGTGCTTCTCCTCCATTGGCCTGCCGATTTCTAATTTCCGCGCAATTATAAGAGCCCGAAAAACGACAATTCGCGTTCATTAATGAAACTTTGTGCTGTTTAGTTAAGGTAATAGTAGCAGTAAAATTTAAACCGCAAGGTATGAGCCTAAAATTAGTGAATCACAGAGAGGCCGGACGGGGAATGGCAGTTAGATCAATGAAACAAAATCAAAAAGTATACAGCCGGTTTAAAAAAATCAAGAATTAGGGAAAAATGACCTGAATGCGGAGTTCCCGCTGGCCAAACTAATATTTTGGAATCAAACCCCGCCGACTGGGATGAGACTTCCAATGTGGCAAAGAAGAAGCGGACGCGGCCGAAATGGTGGCGGCTGTCCTCCTGGAAATGGGCCACCGGACGGGAAATGGCTTGCCCAGAAAACCCCGGAAATTCGAGCCACTACCAGGCCTCGCTCTCGAACGAGAGAACATGAGCCCCAGGATCAGGGATAGCTTTTTCGGGTGGGTTGTAAATAGTTCAGCGACACTAACAACGCGGTAAGGTAAGTCAGTCAATATTATGGGGTTGTTGTTGGGGCACCGGAAGGGTTCATAGGTACCTGAAGCCGGGTGATGATTTTTGAGCACGAGTTGCGAACCTATGCTTGTAAGAACCCTTATTTTTAAGCATCCAAGGTATCAGAGAGGTACCTCAAATCTGGAGCGATACTTGATGGTCTTTGAGTACGACCTGCTTAGGCTTAGGCTTAGGTTTCTGATTTTTTTTCGGCTAGGTTTATCGGCCTAGCGGAACGGGCAAGGCTTAGCTATAGATGTTTTTGGCTATACATTTCTCAAATGCTCTATTATGTTTTCTTACTTTTCCTCGCAGTTACCCGATTTTCGCTCGAATTTGTCCCCGCTCTTTCGAGGGGGCTCCAAAAATTGTGTAATACTCATAATTGCTCGTGGGCACGGAAATCTTTAGTAAAAGGCGAAAGATTTTCTCGGTCAAATGCACACGAACCAGAGGTAAAGAGGGAAGGGACGGGATAGGTGATTAGCGGGAACAGTGGGCCAGGTGGGGGGCAAGTGGGAGCTCACGTTTTGAGGAGAGCTACGGCCCCAGAACTTTCTCTAGTAACAGGATAGTATCAAAATAACGTCTAGAAACCAGGAAAAAAAGATGTTATGGCAAGATTGAGCCTTTACCTAAAAATCAAGTACCTTTCCAACGAAGAGCCGTTAATTACAAAGATCTCAAAAATGTCCTTTAGTGGGATACGAAAAATAGCATTAATCATTCCATTTAAAATTTTTCCTTGAGAACCCAGACGTGTTGTTTTTTTGGAATGTTAATAATTTGCAAAGGATTGTTATTATAACAATCTTTAAAAATAAATACATTTATTCGGCAGGAAAAAGAAGGGCAGCCGCCACGGGGAAATTATCACCAGCACCAGAATAAGCGAAATGGCAAGATTGCAAATGTCATAAAAATATAATAAAAAAATGGCTAGCGATATTAAAGGAGCGTGGAAAGCAAGAAAAAACAAAGAACCGGGTACTTAAGGCAACACTGGCAACGGGCTCAAACTTTTTTTCTGGCTACGTGAAAGTCCAATTGGAATGAGTCTTCAGAAAGTCATGTAGGGCTTATTTTTAGAAGAAAAACTTTTCCTTGCGGCCCCAGCGATGTCGCGACCGGATTCGCCTGAAAGCGGGGGGAATTAATTGGCAGGGATGGGTGGACATAATTTGGTTATAGGGTCCAGCAGGCCAATAAGCTGTATATCTCTCTCTCGCTCTCTCTCTAACTCTCTTTCTCTCTCTCTCTCTCTCTCTCTCTCTAAATTGACTAGACTAGACATAAATATTTGCGCGGCATACGGAGATGATCTTGGGGACTTATTAGATGACCTTCTGGAAAGGCACGAAAAACATGCGGTGTGTCTAAAGAAGTAGAAGCTTAAAAATAACTCCTTTATAGGCTAGACCCAGACTAAAGACATGCCACCTCAAAACACGGCAACTTCAAGGAGTTCATAAACTTCTGTCGTCTAGCTTTCGAAACCCAATGATCCACTTTTTGAAAACAGCGCACGATAAGAAGCGAGAGAGAGAGAGTGAGAGAGAGAGAGAGAGATGGAAGTTTCGACTCACAAATCCAGTGCGGCATCAATCTGATCGGCCTCGGTTTTGGTGAGGGGTGGCGAAGGAGCCTCCCTGGAATTATACAAAACTGACTACACACTCTATACCGTATCGTTAAGCTGCGGCTTTAAAGGGATGGTACCAGCAAGAAAGATCTCGAAAGGTAATAGATAAAACGATGTTTTTATTCGGTTCAAAATCCACGGAATTTTCAGTTTTTCTTTCTTTACGACGTATCCAGTCCGAATTTAAACGGAAGCTGCTCCGTTTGAAATTTTTAGGGGATCTTACGACCGTATTACCCAGTAGCACCTTCACTTTAAGGCCCACTTCAACTAGCAGAAGCCATGCCAAAAGCCAAACCTGCGATGCCTATGCAGGAACCTCTTGGGTGCGACCCATTCATCGCATGGTCGCACGTTTCGCCCATCAACCGCCGATCCCATCAGGTCCATTTTGTCTCCATTCAACGTCACGTCCGCCACGCAACCGTCAAAGTTGGCGCGGTGCAGCCCGCCCGTCATGAATTTCAGGTCGGGGACGCCGCCTACAAAATTGAGCATTGAAAATGAATGAACCCTTATTTGAATGTTTGCCCCGCTCTCTCGAGGGGGCTCCAAAAATTGTGTAATACTCATAATTGTTCGTGTGCACGGAAATCTTTAGTAAAAGGCGAAAGATTTTCTCGGTCAAATGCACACGAACCAGAGGGACCTATAGGAAGGGGGAATGGTTGATTAGAAGGGACAGTGGGCCAGGTGGGTGGCGAGCGGGAAAAGGATCAGAGTATGTCACAACGGAGACTTGTTCATGTAATTTCTCCATTAAAAAGTTTTTAAATACAGTTTTTATGAAACACTTACCAATATACACATTTCCATCAACATTCAACATCGCCAAAATCCCACTGCTACTTCCATTAACTGGAGGGAACTCGTCTACGAACAGGGCACCATCACGCCCCTTTCGGATTGCCAAGACCTAGAAAAAGCATTTTTCACGTAAATATCATGTATTTAATGCATTAGATATTTTTCACGATAATTAACACAAAATTTACACACATTATGCATCAACCCGTCATCAACCCGGAAAATGCTGACCATCTCCGCGGCGCCTCCCCCGAGCTCGTAGCTATAATTGAGGTCCAATTTATGCTTCAAAACTCACGCAAAAACTAAGAAGCCGTCTCGGATGCCGATCGACACGTAGTCCTCGCCAACGAGGGATTGGTCGGGGTTTTGACCTTGCCAGAAGATTACCTAAAATTTACATATGGTTAAGGTCGTCGTGAACTTAACGATCAAAGTATCTTAATGATATTTTCGTTAATCAACGTTAAACTACCATATAAATAGCTTGAAACAGCCTACCCCATTCATGCGGCTCGTCTTGAACTTGAACTCGATCGTCTCCTCCAGCTCGCTGCTCTAAAATGATTTTTTTATGGGTTGGCCGAGGGTGTACTATTTAGAACGGATATAACATATCAAAATTGGTTAAAAAATGAAAAAAATTTAGATACTTCTTACCAGATGCGGAAAATCGTCTCCAGCCATTTCGATAAACGCGTCACCATTAAACCTCGCGGCGTGTTCGATGGGCTTGACTTAAAGATATGATTGGCTGTGTTAATTTCTGATATTAACTTACAAATATCACAATTCGGCCCGTCGTAATAGATCTTGCACTCGCACTCGAAGTGGCTCTCGTTCAGCTGGCGGCAGACGCCGTTGACGCCGCAGCGGTGGTTAGCGCAAAGGTCGGGCCATCGGCAACGGCCGCCTAAACAGTGAAGGCGTCAAGAAAATCCAGAATTAAACCTAAGTGTTTATGTTACAGCATTTTTTGCCTATTATTTGGCATTTTGTTGTTCCCTTAAAACCTTCTTATACCTACCTGGACAGGGCGTCACATAGGGATCTGGATGGACGACTACCGGCGGTCTTGGAGTGGTTGTGGTAGGGGGTGGAGTTGGTGGCTAAACAGTTAGCGTATCAGAATTGGGCTTGATTTTACGCTTAGGCTTAGGTTTATAGACCCACCAGACTGGCAACCGTAACCTCTTCTCCGCTGAGCTCCCCGCTGTTGTCGTTTAGATCTGGCACCGGCAGCTGGGTTGACCATTCCGGTGTATCGGGTTGGGCAGCTTCTGTTGGTTCGAGTTCTTCGGGTTCTGCGTCCGGGTGCACGGTCTTTTCGCTCCAGACTTCGGGTGCGATTTCTTCAAAGTTAGAAATTCTTGAAAAGGGAGGGCGAGAGTGAGAGACAAAAGAGAAAGAGAGAACGAGACAGAGAGAGACAGAGAGAGAAAGAGAGAGAGAGAGAGAGAGAGAGAGAGAGAGAGAAAGAGAGAGAGAGAAAGAGAGAGGGAGAGAGAGAAAGAGAGAGAGAGCGAGACGGAGAGAGAGAGCGAAGAGAGATACAGAATAAGATTTCTCCTCATTCTAACCTTCAGCCGGCTCCTGCGATGAAGTCACGACTTGAGGTACAATTATCGTAGTGCCCAACTCGTCCCTTTCTGCCGGGCCTAACTCCACGGCTGGTGGTGTGGGCTTAAAGAAGTCTCATTTGAAAGAGTCCAAATACTCACTCTTTGTGCAGGAAGTTCTTGAATCTCAGAATCTCGTCCAATAGAGTAGAGGGTGTTTTCCTCTTCCTCCTCCTCAGATTCTGGTTCTCTCGGCCTCGGGTTGACCGCCGGAAGGTCTTCGATTTCGATCTAAAACCAAGTTTTTTAGGGGCTAGAGATAGATAGATAGATAGATAGAGAGAGAGAGAGAGAGAGAGAGAGAGAGAGAGAGAGAGAGTGAGGGTGAATGGGAGCGAGAGGTAGGTAAAAAACCCAAAAGAGAGAGTGGAAGAAGGGTGGAGCTAAATCACAAAGTTTACCTCCGGCTCCTGGTTACGATCGGAACGACTGTCATGAGGATGTGGCTAAAAACATGGTGAAAACGATGCTTTTTCAATCATTACCGCAGGTTCCGGCTCCTGAGTTGTTTCATAATATTCCGCGCTTGCCGAGTATTCGGTGGACTTTGCTTTATCGGTGGGCAAAACACGTGGCGCCTGAAAATGGAACAAATTTGCATAGCTAGCACAAAAATACGAGAAACACTCCGTAAAAGGCTATTCTATATTTTTTATTAAGCACACTTAAAGTGCGACTGGTTTTTGCCCGTTTTAACCCAGGCTTTTAAACTCACAATTGTGGTGGTGCTCGTAGTGATCTCGGCAGGTTCCGGCACGATTTCTCGGCCATCAGCACCAGTTTCAACAACTTCCGGCTAAATTTTGGCTATGGAAAAATTTCTGGCTGAAACACAACCTCAAGGTCAGCATTTGCATGACCGTAATTCGTTTCCTCTTCCTCTTGAATATCTGGTAATGGAGTCGGTGAAATAGTGGCCTCTTCAGGAGCTTGCCAATCCGGGAATTCCCAATTAGGGTCTTCTGATGGTTCGACGTCAGGGCGGATGTAGACGGTCTGAATGATTGCATCGAGTTCGCTAGTCATATCTGCCCTCCCACTCGCCCCATATCTGGCCCACTATCCCCTCTGATCACCTCCCCCCTTCCTTCCCTCCTTACCTCTGGTTCGTGTGCATTTGACCGAGAAAATCTTTCGCCTTTTACTAAAGATTTCCGTGCACACGAACAATTATGAGTATTAAATAATTTTTGGAGCCCCCTCGCGAGAGCGGGGCAAAAAAAGCTTGCGTCAAACATACTTTTAAAGTTAAACGATCGATCGATCGGTACCCGAACTTACATGCACTACTTCCTCTGTCGTTGTCACTTCCACTTTTGGTGTCGTTGGGGTTGGTCTTTCAGGGATTTTTGTAGTTGTAGGGCGAATCCTCGTTGTGGTGGTGGTAGTCGCACTCTTGAAATGATTATTATAATATGCATTATTAAAATCAAGGCGTTTCCTACGCCTAAAATACTTTAAGGTGGACAGACACACAAAAATTGCTATACCGTTGGCAGCGGGGTAGGTTCCGGTTCCCACGGCTCAAGCTCTGGTGGGCTGACCGTGGCTCGTTCTTCGTTGTCATTGGACTCCTAATATTGCAGTAGTGAGGTAAGTTATGGCTCTTATTACAATTTTAATTATTGGTCCTTCTTCCTCTTTTTTATTCAAGTAATCGATAACCGAAGTGCACTAACCTCTAGATTTTCGCGATCGGCTCCAGTTTCACTGCCAAGTCCGCATTGTTGCAGATCTCCAGAAGAATAGCCGTCAGGCGCGGCAAAATCTACCATTCTACCGTTGATGACAAGCTGAAAGGTGGTAGCTTATCGATCTATGGGCTTTACCTCGCTGATACAACCCTCATAAGGCTCGACAGCTGCTTGCTGGTGCTTCGGAATTCCGGGCGCCAAACCCCCCACGAACAGATCAGTGCCGGGGCGGAATGAAGTGGAGCTCTAAATCGCGTGGTTGCTCGATATCACACTACGTACAAAAAAGTAGGTCATTGTTTTTCTGAAGGCGTACTAATTCCTTCAAATACTTACAACGGTACGTGAGTGTACTCCATTCACAGACAATGTCGTTTTGTCTTCCACTCGCTGAACCTCGATGACATTCTCGACCTCAGGATGCAGGGCAGCGATGGAAGAAATGGTGGATTTTCCTAAACATTGTTGACGTTCACTTTTTGTCGTTATCGCTTTCGCGAGGTTTCAAACGTATTTTACTACTAACGAACCTGCCCGGTTCTTGTAGATCAGTTGAATCTTATCGTCGACAATCCCGATATTCAAGAACCCTTCAGCATCCACAGCATAAGACGAAGCCAGGAACAACAGCATCGACTCGTTCTTGGGCTCTCGTGGTGGGATGACCCTCATTGACACCTGAAAAAAAATCGATGGCGTTTTTTGAGCTTGATCTTACAGTGAAGTTCTCGACTTGAGTAGGAGCGGGAAGCGCGAGAAAAGCGTTGTCTCCGGAGAACGAGATGACCTTTGGGACTTCAGTGATCGTTTCGTCGCAGTATTGGCCCTAGAAATAAGTTAATATTTTGCACATATGCCATAAAAAGGCGTAAAAATAGTCGAAAGGACTTACGGTAGAGCCAACTGGGCAGATACAGCCAAGTAGTCCTGTTTCCTCGTTTTCCACGCACATCCCACCGTTGCAATCGTCTAAAAAATGTAGTAGGTAGGCTCAAAGGCAAGAAATAGTAGATCTCTAAAATTTTACAAAAAACTAAATTCTAAAGGTACCCAAGATTTAAGAATACTTACTATCCCCACAGGCCGCCGATCGGCGCTCGCAGAAATCGCCGGTGAACCGAATATCGCATTGGCAAATGTAGCCCTGGCCGACGTTGGCCGGGATGCAGTGGCCTAAAAAGCACAATAAAATTATTTGGTAATTATATGACAAGACTCAGTAGATGATCATCTTGAACTCACCCCCGTTGAGGCAAGGCTCGGCTTGACAAGCATCGTACAGCGACACTTCCCCAATCCTTTTCCCCGTGCTCAAATCGAGGGGTTCCCCATCGACAAGCACGCTGGAGATGACTCCTAAAGGTTTTAAGGTATCGTTTCGTCCAGGTAAACTTACCCTTGTAATTCGAAGGTATCCTGGTCAAGTATTTCTGTTGAATCCCGCTGGTCCCTCCAATGTCCAGCGATACAGCTTCGTAGGGTAAGATTCGAGGCTTCGCGTGCGTTTTGGAGACGATTCCACCATCATTGAGCTTCAGGGAAGCTAGAAGTTTATCTTCGTAAGCGTCAAAATATTCTCGTACCTTCCCGATCGGTGTTAGTAATTTGAATCTGGTTCCAATCATTCAGTCGAACACGATTTGGTGATTCAATTGCTTCTAAAAAACAAAAAAAAGCAGTTAGAAAAGTCGTAAAGCTTTTAGACTCACCGACACCATGGCCAATATCGTAGGTGTACACAAATTTGCCGTCCTTTACCCCGCCGGCGTGGAAATTGGTCTCGAACCGTGAGGGGTTGACCTTATCGGTGTAGAGGAGGAGGCCTAGAGTTTATTTTTTTGGATACCTAACTGGCGGCAAGCGGAGGCAGAAGCTAAGCGTGGAACCAGCCCAAAAAACCAACCCTCGTTCGATTTTGGCTTAAAATTAACGTCAAGCTGCAGGTCGCCGAATTGATTATCGGTAACCGGAGGCAATTCGATCCAACTGGCGCCGTCAAAGTTTGGAACGAAGCCTAGAACGGGAATGCGGGGTAGGGACCTAGGTAGGGACCGACTTGTCACTTTCAGATGCACTTCCGCCGTGGCGAGACTATCTGGGGTGCTGCAGGTATAAAGCCCGGCGTCTCCGCGATGAACCGATGGGATTGAGAGGATACCTAAATATAAAAAGATGCTTAAAGGGGCTCCGAACTGCCAAATCAAAGCCCTTTTGGGAGGCCTCTTTGATTTCTGGCAAATTACCAGCGGGCGCTGCGGGACGAGAGCCCTCATTCTTTCGATTTTTGCGCGAAGTTGTTTTTGCCCGGTTTCTTTATGAAAACACTATAATTTGCGCATTCTGAGCCCATTTTTGAAATCCTCACTCAATTTTAAATAGTTTAGGTGTTTTAAGCATCAAATTTGGCCCAGAAACAGCCGAGAACCTGATTTCGAGGTGACAACAGGCAATGTTAAATTTGCGCGCTTCCCGGACCCCGGGGTGTACAGGCCACCGATTTTCGGGCCGTCACTCAATTTTTTGTATTTCGTAGCCCATTTAAGGCTCTACCGCTCAAGATCGGTCCCTCTCTGCGCTCTCTCTCTCTCTCTCACTCTCTCTCTCTCTCCCTCGCTCTCTCTCGCTCTTTCCCTTTCTCACCTCTATCTACCTTCGCCTCAACGGGCATCTCCTTTCCATCAGCCCGTGTCCATTGAATCGGCGACTTCGGGTTCGGCAATTGTATGGGGCAGAATAAATGAGCCTTGAATTCGATGTTACGTTCGGATCCCAAATTCTACCTGTTGCCCAATGCCACGCGTCATTTCGAGCGGTTCCGTTTGGAAGCCCACTAAAATTGGGAGCTCTAATTTGTCCTAGGCAAGGGCTGGCAAATCCATGCTGTCGCCGGGGTCGCCATAAAATGTCACTCGAACTAATGAAATTCTAGCAGAATATGAGTAGCGGCATGCAGTAGGTCTTTTAAATTTGTGACTCTGTAATCGTTTTATGCCTAACCAGAGATGACTCGCAAAATTGCACAGAGTTTCGACTTGAAAATTGGTAGACTGTGGAGGTTTGAGCTTGCGATTCTAACGACACAAAAACCACACTTGGAAAATCGCGCATCTGTGGCGAAATTAAACGTGTTATATTTCGACTGCTTATCAAAACTTTGCTGCCATTTTTTGGCGCGTGAGAAGTGCAAGCTCAAACTCTATAAGCCCACCAGTTTCAGATCGGAACTCGCGAACAGCCCTAGTCCAGAGTTTCCAAAGAAAAAATTGGCCGGAAGTTAACGTTAATTAGATACAGAGGCCGTTCCTGGATGGTTTAAACTGCTTTGTAGAATGTCGCATTTAAATCAAAACACGGCTGAAAATTTGTTTAAAATTCGCCCTTTCAAGGGCTTTCAAATGGTGGAACTATCGTACTGAACTGATACTTCTGCGCCGAGTAATAGCTGGTGCTATTTTACTGGGAGATCCTGTAAGTAAACTGTACGGTGTTTTGTGTATTTTTAAGCCAATTCCATGCAATTTCTCGACCTTTCTCATGCATACGGTAACTTACATGCAAATTACCACAGCACTCAAACTATCGAAACCTTTATTCACTCCAAACACGCAAGAAAAAAAGGGAAACAGTCGACGGAGGGGCAGGGGCGAAACGTTGGAATTAGCATGGGTTGGTCCACAGGATAAGTATTTTTAACGGGATACGGAATACTGTAGGCGATACTATGCTCGAGCACCAGATTGTTTGTTACGGTTGTTTTTGGCAGTATTTTGGCAGGAATACGGGGGCCGGAAATGTCAGGGTTAGAAGAGGCGGCTAGGGGCGTTCGGGGGAGTGTAGCGTAGTTATGTCGTATCGCGATTGCATAAACGATCAACTATAAACTACAAACTACAACACTCCGGTACGCACCATACCACCGGTACTTTTGAATAAAAATTTGAGCCGCTGAAAAAAATGTGAGCAATCATTAGTTGGCAAGGTCGTTTAGAGGAGGGGGTTTTTTACGGAAGGGCAGTGTTCCATTATGGCACACGACAACGAAAATTCGACATTTTTAGACTATAGACTACAGGGGGGCTAACTCTGTGTATGTTGAGCGATATGGAGACGAAGGCAAACCGGGGCACCGAGACGGACGGGGATAAGCATGCGAGAATTAGCGATGAAAGAAAATGCGCGGCACAAACTACAAAAACGATAGGGACGCGCACGTGACTTTTTAAGGGGTTGCTAGGGTTTTAGAGAATTTGATGGACACTTTTTAGATAACTTGAAGAACATCAGAATCTCTTAAACGCCTATGACACCCTTAAAAGACAAGCGGCCATCTAATCGCGTCCACCAAACAAGTCACCGAAAAGCCCCCTCTCGAAGGCTTTCCGACGGCTCTCAGCGTCGCGCAGACGACGGCCCCGGCGTGCTTGGCGGCCCCGGCGCGCGTGCTTTCGCTTGCGTTTTGAGCCGATGTTCAGCACGGTCTTCGCCTCGAGGGTGGCCGCTCGGGTCTTGGCCACGCATTTGTAGGTTCCGCTGTTGTCCTGCGCACGGCGGTGAATTGGAGGCGCTTTTCGGCGACCTGAAAACGTGGGTGTTATCGTGTTTTTCTAGAGCGCTGAGGCAAGGTAGATTGGTCAAAACTCTGACACCGGGAGAGCGAGAGAGAGAGAGAGAGAGAGCCAGAGAGAGCGGGAGTGAGCGAGAGAGAGAAAGAAAACCCTTGATCGAGCGTGAAATCCCTTACCTGAGCATTGTCGGGCAGAGAATCCTCTCCCTCCCGAACCCAGGTAACGTTGGCAGTGTCATCTCCAGTGACCTAAAAAAATCGCATGCAATTTAAACAGCCTAGGTTTCATCAGCTTGAACAAATTCCCAGCCCAAATTACAAAAAAATAACCCACCTTGCAGTCGAACCACAGCCGATCTCCAACCTGCACGTTCTCGCTGGATGGCTCGAGCAGCACCTGGATGATGGTGTCCGGGACTAAATTACACTTTTAACCAGGCCAGTGGGTTTTCTGATACCAGAAATCATGGCATCAACGTAGCCCTCGACGACGTGGTTATCGATGTTGACCTTGCAGACGTAGAGGCCGGCCGTGTCGTCATCAAAGTCCTTGATGCTGAAAAAGAACAACGAATATAAGGAGATTTGGTTCTAATAAGTTCTCCATTTGTTTAAGCGAGTATATTTGAACTCCAATTTTTTTAAAGACGGTGTGATGCTTTTTCTAAAAACTTACACAAGACGACTCTGGTTCTGCTGCACCTTGCTGGGCATATCACCGTCCTGGCGGCTCCATTCAACCTAAAAACATCACATAAATCTCCAGAAAAATCCATACCTTTGATCCGGGTACCGTGTACACGGGGCAGTTTAGCACCGCCTCGGCGTTCTCGTCAAACTTCATCTCGGCCGGTTCTAAAAAAAAATCCAAGGTTTTCTTTTGAGAGACTAATGCTTTTCTAAGCCTTAACACTTGCAGTTTCGCCCCAAGATCCCGTTTTTACAAAGGGAAATGACATCAGATTTGATTTAAAGGCTTAAGGTATCTAATCGTGAACTGCCGACTTTTCGCTGAATGTCCAATGGTGACGGCAGCGTAGGCGGCGCCGATGACTTGCGCGTTGTCGTCCTCGATTTCGCACTTGTAGACACCGTAGTCATTTCCAGCATCGGCTTGGGCGATGTGGAGCCGAGGGGTCTTGGCGAGGTTGCGGATGATCTGTCCTCCACGCAGCAGGTGCCACGCGAAGTGCTCGTTGCCCTTGGCTCCTGGAATGGACATGAGGGTAAGACAGTAGGGGTCGAAGCTAATTTTTTTAGATTCTGTGGATCAAAGTGGATGTCAATAAAACGAGCAGGGCGTGCGCCAGGTATGCCTGTACAAAGGAGCATAGCGTAGCCGAGTTAGGACTACGCAGTGCTCCTCTGGGCACCCAGACCATGTGAGTGATCAGCAATTACAAGCTGTTAGACAAAATTCAAGCAAAAAAAAGACACAACAACCACACTCAAACGTAACCGGACACCAAGTAAGTAACATGCTACAAACAATTTAGCACATGACTGCAAGCGTTTTGTGGTTTTTGCTACGCCGTTTTTTTGGGAGCTACGGTAGCTTTAAGTAAAAATTGTCTTTGTCCTGGGGACGTACAGCAGCTGGAATACCGACCACACCACCTCTGCACGACAATCACACGTGTTGGACGCCGCGTCTCGTACTCGCCCTCCACGTCGCACCAGTAGAACCCGGCTTGGTCGAGGCTGTATGGAAGCGAGTGTTAGTTATTGGAAAAAGCAAAATCAGAAATGTTAGCGTCGTTCTCTCTCTTTCTCTACCTCTCGCTCTAGTTAAGTCCTCTACCTTATCCGGTTAATATGCAAATATTCCTCTGTCGACACACCGATGACGTTCAGCCCATCTCTCGTGTAATACCACACAATGTCGGCCGGTCGGTGCGGGTTAGCGTGCGCTAAAGCGTTAGCTCAAACCAAAAAAAGAAACCACAGCAAAGTTAGTAAAGAAAAAAGGTGCAGCAATATCACCAGTAAGGTAATTCATAGGCTTAACGTACCCTCGACAGCGCAGTTCAGAACGATAGCGTCACCCTGAGTCACGACACGGACCCGGGGTGGGTCGATGGTAACCTAAAAGTTCGGTTTACCCACAGGATGAAAAATTTCTTACCCTGGCCTCCTCAACGTCCTCGCTGCTGGGGTGGACGTGGACGGTGGAGGTGGCGATGACCTCGCTTCCTCGGAATCCACTAAAATTGGATATTTTACAGCTTATAGGCTATGGAAAAGATAAAAACTGTTCTGAGAACCCACCGGCACTCGTACTCTCCAGCGTAGTTGGCCTTGAACGACGGGAAGTGGAGAACACCCTGCTCGTTGTGCTCCTCGACGTCTTGGGGCAGTTGGTCTTGCACCTGAAAATGGTGGTGATTTCGATAAAGTGTAATTCTAAGAAGCCATTATCAAAAGCTTACCCTAGACCACTCGATACGGTCGACAAGGTTAGATCCGGTGGCGGCACAGGTCAGCTCGGCCGGCTCGCCAAGGTCGAAGAGTTGCACGTTGCCACCGAGAACGGTTACCGTGGCGATCTTGGATGGTTCGACGACTGGAAAGGAAGCATTATGATCAGGATCTCTTGCCATTAATGCATGGATAGCTCTTGAAAAACCCCTGCCGCCTATTTCGTAAATCATTATAGATTTTTTGACACCCCGATCCCATGCGAAGTTTTGCAGGAAGTCCTTTCGAGTATTTATTTTTAATTGGTTTTATTTAGACTTTTTTGTAACTTTGTTCCTTGTCGATTTCTGTATGTTCATACTGTTTTTAAATGTCTACTAAAATTAAACAATTTATTACAAGGCAACAACAATAAAAATACGTGTAAAGGTTTGTACCAAATCAGAAGTGGGAGACGATGAGTGAAAGAACGGTGGCAATGTAAGAACAACAAAATTGAGGATTTTTGATGAAAGATCGAAATTATGAAAATAAATAATCGAAAAGGAAGAGAATAATGATTCCAGAACCAAAACAATAAATTTAATTATATCCGCGTCGCTGTTTTATCAAGTCGTCAACATATCTCGTGTTCTCTCGATAGCTGCCCGCTGAATATAGTTAAATTTAGTGTTTTAACATAAAAAAGCGAAAAAATAGAAACAAAAATGGAAAAGCTAAATCAATCAAAAATAGAAAAGAACAAGGAAAATTAGCGAAACAAAGTACGGAGTCAAGGGGGTACCGTTTCGCTTTGGATATCTCTGCTCGCGTGCGGCTGAAATTTTGGTAACGGTTCAACGTAACGGCATTTTATTACCATCTTTAATCATCCCCTCGACCGTTCCTTTTGGGACTGTTTGCCCAGGGTATCGGCCTTGTTGCTTACCATAGCGATCGTCGTATCTATCTAAAGACGCGGTGATAAATTATGCCATGGCGTAGCTACTAAAATCCAGTTAAAAAGCAATATAATGTAAAGAAATGAAAAACAACATTAAAAATGAAAACAAACATGAAAAATCGGCAAAAAATAAATTCACGTAAAGGAAGTACCGTTTTGATTAGGATATCTCTGCTGATTTGCGGCTAAAATTTTTGGTGACGATTCAGCGTAAGGATTCTCACCATCGTTAAGCATTCCCTCAATGGTTCCTTTATTGACCTTTTGACCAGGATACCGGCCATTTTGGCTATCGCCATATGGGGGTTGGTAGGTATCTAAACATCAGGTCATGTGAGAATTGACCAAGTCTGTAATTTCTCTTAAGCTACCTACATTTATAAGTGGTCGTCTCCGGCCAGCGTGAATTTCCGTTTCGCTCATTCTCTCCTAAAAGCTCAAAAAACGCTTCGGCCTAACGTCGACCCATACGTTGTTGCTTTATTCGCTCCCATTCAAGCCTTTTTCGTTCTTGTTCGCGTTTGTAGAGGTCCTCTTCTTGCTTAATAGCGGCTTGGTCTCTTTCTAAAGCTCATGAAATTGATCCGTTGATTTTTACAGCTTACCCCATTGGCTCTGCGCCACGGGTTGTGTCCTCCTATCATACGGGTCTCGATATTGGTCTAAATTTTAAATTCCGGATTTTATGAGAAAAATTACAGCTCCTTCGGGCAGGTGTCTGATGAAAATCGGGCTCGGTATCTGCCGTCTCTGCTGAATCCACTGTTTTTCATAGCTCTCTTCGTAACAAACCCTCTGGCCTCTCCTCTGATACTGGCAGCTCGTAGGCTTCTTGTTGGTTCTCCGAATTTGATGCCAAAATGTCGTTTTTCATCAGTAGTTTCAAGGGCTGGGTCCTGGAAATTAATTAACATCTGCCAATATGCTTAGTTAACTTACCAATTTGCTCCCTCGTATCCATAAACTGCCAGCTGTTTGATCTCCTTCAAAAAGGTTATCAACGTCAGAGATAGCAAAAATACCATTATAGGGAACATTTTCATATCTGGGGTCGATGTATGGGCCAGCTTCTGGTTGTACCCCTTCAAGTTGACGTCCATATTCGTCTCAATGGTATAAAATAGAGGCAATAAAGGGTGCAGATCACCGTATTGGAATCGATCAGGTCGGGGAAAACAGGCCCCTAGGCCACATGAGGGTCGATCGGTGACTAAGAATTACAAAATTCATAGAACTAGGGTTGGAATTACCACATGGGGTCGTTGTGGTGGTGGTCTCGACCGGGCAGGGTGGGACTGTAATAGATTCAGTTCCTTAAAGAAAAATAAAAAAAGAAGAACAAACCAAAAAATAACTTCGAAAGACAGATCAAGAAGAATTGAAAAGAATCTACAAAAATTACCAACAAGGAGTAGTGGTAGTGGTGGTTGGCCTTGGTGGAGAGGTATTTGGGCTCCGACTCATAACAATGGCGTAGTTTACAGAAGGAGCGCTGAAATCAGGAAAATTAAGC